CTCTGCAGTTTAATGGTTTTACAACACCGAGCGGGCAGTGATAGCCCCTTGAAAGTGTGTGTGTGTGTGTGTGTGTGTGTGTGAGTGAGCGTGTCATAGTCTCAGCAGCGTACTGGCATTCTTTAATCGGTGTGTGTGGCGCGCATGTACGTTCAAGTGATCCAGAGTGTTTTGTGTGTGTGTGTGTGTGCGTGTGTCTTTTTCCTTGTCTTGGCCGGCCTGTCTCCTCATGTTTGGACATATGTTGAGTTTTATTTCACTGAGACATCAATCCTGCCGGCCAGCTGTTCGGACAGCTGCTCTCTGCGGGCCTCTTCCCGCTGAACTCACTGCGTCAGTCGCTCGCCGCCTCTCTTCGCCGTCTTTGTTTCTGCATTATTCATCTTTCGTCTCTTCTCGGTGCTGTTTCTTTCTCCTCTTCCTCTCTGATGCTGTGGGGTCCGCAGCTGAAGTCGCACTGACATAAATTTGGAAGTGCAAAGTGTGGCTGTCAGCTTCCATTTACACGCTCAGTAGCGAAGTCGAGAAGCAAACAGGGTTTTTTTTTCCAGCCATGGGCGCGTTACACAAACATCGAGCACCCACTGACACATCGGCCTTTGTTATTGTTAACATTAACTCATTTTTTTCAGGTTAATGTTGTTTTATTTTGCTCTTTGCCTTGGCGCTCTGACTGCAGACTCAAGGGTTCCTGATCTTTGACAAATAGAGAGAGAGAGAGAGAGAAAAAGGGAAATAGATGCCATCTTTCCATCCAAATGTCAAGTGAATTAAAAGGGAAATGTCATCAAACACGAAATGCAAATGAAATATGCTTCTACAAAGCAAACGAATCGGCTTCTCGAATGTAGACCTCATGTCAGGAAACAAATGAAATTCTTTCAATTTTGTTGTGTATTTGAATTAGGCTCAAATTTCACTTTTTCATCAGAATCAAAACACAGGGAAAATATATCTATCTAACCATTATAGAGAATATTCCGCAGACGGCCTGAGGCCCTCGTGTTGATGGCACGGCGTCAGAATGTGCCGTCAACTTTTCTTATGTTAACGTTTTTATCCGACGGAAGGAGATTAAAGTTCACAGAGAAGCCCAACCTAAAAAAAACGTCTATCGAAACAAAGCATTATTCAGTTGCCTTCATTAATAAGAACATTAACAGAAATTATTTAAAAGGAGCTTGAATTATGTTTTGCTGAAACTCCGGAAATCAGTTAAAGAGATTCTGGGTCAATTGTGGATGAATTTGGCAATCGTGCGTCACTCAGAAATAGGAACTATGAGCACGTTGCTTCTCAACAAAGGACATTTTATTTCCAATTCAATTCCACGACAAACATTCAAACCCATGGAAACCGTGGAAGAAAAGAGAAAAAAGGGGATTTCTGTCTGTGACGGGATGTGGCACACTGAGTTGTTGTTGGCAGTGGCTGTTTTGGGAGTGTTGATGCTTCTCCTCTCACACACACACACACACACACACACACACACACACACACACACACACACACACACACACACACACACACACACACACACAGTATCACACACGGTGAGGTTTCTGTGGCTTGTGTAAAACACCCAAAACTCTGTGTCTTGGCAGGTTGGCGCACAGGTGATAAAAGTGTGTTTACCCTGAACACCCGCCGCTGATTTACTGCAGCTCTCTCTTCATCCACTTCTTATCTCCTTCTATCTCTCCTTCACTTTGTTTTATTGCGCACTCATCCCTTGCTCTGTCTCTCCTCCTCTCTGTCTTCTGTCCCCGAAATGAAACAAGCAGCTTCATCATCTCGCTCCTCAAACCGCCGTCCCACTTGTTGACTTCTTCTGTCCTACACTTCCCTCCTCTCCTCCTCGCCCCCCCCCCCCATCCTCCCTCTCCCTCCTCTTCTTCAAAACCATCCATCGTCCGCAATTCTTCCCCACTTGATAAAGTTGGTGTTGGGACAGCGAGGAATTTTTATCCACCCTCCAATCTAAACAGCACTTGATCCCAGAGCGGTCGCGGGGACAGAAAGCCATCTAGGGTAAAACCTCTCCTGCTCATCCCTCTTTTCTTCCTCTTCTCCTCCTCACGTACACCCCCCCCCCCCCCCCCCCTACTGTCTCTGCGTCTGATCTGTTTATCGGTACGGGG